GGGCATGGTAGCACGCGCCTGTAGTTCCAGCTACTTGAAGGCTGAGGCAGAAGGATCGCTGGGACCCAGCAGGTCGACACTAAGGTGGCCATGAGAGTGCGTGCCACTGTACTCCAACCTGGGCGAAGGAGTGAGACTCCAACTCAAACTAATAATAATAATAGTAATAATAATTAAGTAATTATATAATCCTCCTTTTTCCTTGTTTTTTTGAGTCAGAGTCTCACTCTGTCGCCCAGGTTGGAGTGCAGTGGCATGTTCATGGCCACCGCAGCCTCGACCTGCTGGGCACAGGTGATCCTTCCGCCTCAGCCTTCCAAGGAGTTGGAACCACCGGCATGCGCCACCAAGCCTGGCTAATTTTTTTAATTTTTGTAGAGACAAGTGAATTGACAGATCAAGAGTGGAAAGCCATTTTTTATCTTGTTCCTAAACCCTGACATAATGATGAGAAAGTAGAAGCTATGTTTTGGAGAAATGCATATTTAGGTAAAAATTAACTTTGCCCACTTTGTCTTTTCAGAAACCCAGACTACTTGGTGCCAGGCATCAGAGGTATCTCATAGCTCTGCAGAAGCGACAATCAAGCTTGCCTAGAGTAAAAGGGGTTTGCAAGGCCTAAAAATATCATGCATTAGGCAAGAAACTTGTAATTACAAAAGTTATACAGATCATAGGACTTGTGACCACTCAGAGCGGGAGGGAGCAGGTGGGGATTCGATCTTCCAATAGATTGGGAGCTATCTACAGGGAAGTCAAGGATCCCCCAAGTTACCCACTGGGAATGCATAGGAGATAAGGGGAAGTGCACCCTCCATTAGCTCTAAGGAATGTTGTTCAGGAACACTCAGGACCACTAGAATCCTTGTCACGCCCTTCTCTATGATAACATGGACAGACATTAACGGGTCTCTGTGTCACAGGGTCTCCAAGACACTCGCAGGTGGTGGATAAGGAAGTCATGGCAGTCACCTCTGACTGCAACATCTCCAAGTGAAAGGATTTAAAGGGGGGGCTATGGGGCCACACTGATTTAGAGTGTAGGCCTGCTCCCTGTCTGTGGGAAGTGAACCTTTCTTAAACAAATCTTTTCTTCTTTCACCTCTTTGTGTGTTGCAGTTCTTTGCATTACTTGGATCTCTGGTCACCAGCGTGCACATCTGGCAGGCCAGCTCTGAGGATGCTGCGCTGCACCCCCTCCATCCACCCACCACCCTCACCCTATCCATACCCTAACAATGAGGTCTCACCAAGCTGCCCAGGCTGGTCTTGAGCCCCCAGACTCGGGCAATCCTCTCTCCTCAGTCTCCCAAAGTGCTAGGATTACAGGTGTGAGCCACCGTGCCCAGCATTTTTTTTTTTTTTTTTTGGGTGGGAGTCTCACTCTGTAGCCCAGACTGG